AGTAACTTTGCCTAAATGAAGGAGAGAGGTTGACGCAGCAACAGAAAACATTTTGTTGGTAACTGATATAATTGTTTTGCAGGTACAGTAGAGGGACATCTTCTGATGACTACACATAGGCAGTGAGCTGTTTCTTCAAATAGCCTTTAATCTTTCTTTACAGTAAAGTAAGTGTACTGAGAGTAACAAGTGTCATTTTCCTGACACACTGACATATAGGACTCCTGGAGTGATTATCACGATCCACCAAAGTTAATGGCCTCTTTCTTGATAGGAAGCAGTAATATTCACTTCTACTCTGTACATCCATGGGTCACATGGACTGGGCAAACAGTGGTAGTCCAGTCACACCAGTAGAAGCCGAAGCAATATGGCTGCTTTCTGCTAAAATCATCAGTCATTTCTACTGTGAAACAAATCTAAAGAGAACCATGAGCATTCCCGTACATACAGCAGAAAGACTGAATGCCTACAATCTGCTACAAAAGGTGCACCACAACATATACACAGCACACTTTGTGCACGACATCAGTGGTTTGAGTCCAGCTGCCAACCTATGTGGCAGGTCCGCTCCTCTGTCCGTCTCGCTCTGACCCACTTACCCCATAAAAATAATTACATTAAGGTATATGTCTGGATTTTTACAGCGGCTGCTAGATGGCGCTGTTCTAGCACGGCCGTCATTTTGACAGTAGGGCCAAGCTCCTAATGCAGCCATAGCCATTTGCTGTGACCACTGTAGCCCCCATAGCTACTGATAGCTGTGACTGGGCGCTAAAATTCAAATGTTGGTATGTGCATTGTGGCATGTACAAATTACAGACCTACTCCTTTACTTGGGTTTTGCGTCAGGTCAGCACTGAACCTGCTCTTTAACGTAGGCTACACTGTTCATTTATTTTGTGTGTTGATCGTGTATTAAGATAATATATTTTATGAAGGTTAGACACATTAACATTTTCGCTGTAGTGTAACATTAGGATTAGGAAATCGAGTCACTTTCAGCCCAAACCAGCTGATGAGTAGCTCTGCTGCTGGGTGCTGGTGTTGTAATAGGACGTTCGTTCTGAAATATTTTATATGATGAAAGAAAATATTTTCATGATCAAACAGCCATATTATGAGGGTCAGTCTGTCATGGGAATACTGCCTTTCTGACTCTCGCAGTGCTGTATGGTTAAGTGTTATTCTAGTGTTCAACTTTGAATTAACCAAATGGACTGAGACACATTTTCATTCGTACCAGTCTCACTTGTTATGCTCTGTCTGACAATTGCGCCTTTGAACACTTATTTGTATTTATAATATTGTTCACAGCTACGGTCAGTTGGTAGCCAGACTAGCAGCCAGGTACACGAAGTACCTGTTTGTAATTTCCTCTGGTAATTGTAGTTGCTGCTCATGCCACATTCAGTCTACAACTTCTGCTGTTGCAGCATTGTGATTAGATTAGTGGCTGTCAGCAGCTGTAAGGGCGGGAGCCGAGTTTGATGTGACACACACAGCTGATGATATCTGTGCATTGTGAATGTCTTAAGCACGTGCCAGTAAACAGTCTGTAGAACCCGGCCTCGTCTCATGACCACCCATTCATCATACCACAACACAGTGCAGATCAGCAACAGCACTACACCAGTTACACTGAGAACAACAAACGGATCAGATGCTCCTTGTTTGTTCTCTTGTGAAATGAGCAAACAAGAGAATCTGAGAAAACTACTAAATGAAATGAGCTTCACCTGAGACCTGTCTCACTCTTGCACCTGTCCGGGTTTGGATACATCGCCACGGTAACCAGAGGTGACTCTACAGCCTGTTGGAAAAGGTTGTGTTTCCATGGAGATGATAATGCTGAGTGACAGAGGAGGCTGACGATAATTTAACAAATCACAGCAGGCTGACAGCCGGCGGGGCTGGGGTGGGGGGGTAATGGGTGTGTTTTGCGTCTCCCTGCCGACTGCAGCTCATTAAACAGCTTTCAGCACCACAACATGACAACAGGGAGAGATGGAGAGATGGACGATAATAGAGGAAAATAGAAGGTTAGAAAATGTTTCACCATAATAGCTGAGCCTCTCTTGTCCTCTCTCTCCCTATTATTCTTTGCTCTGTCTCCAGACTGAAACAACTCAATTTCACCCCTCACTAACACCGACTCTGTATGTGTGCGTGAGACCAGCAGTCATTTAAAACAATGACAAACTGCCAGCAAGAGGAGAAAGAAAAAAGTGGGTGATAAAAGATTTATGCGGCTTCTGCTCTGGATTTCTCTGTGAAATGTCTTTGAACGTTTAAAACCCTTCCAGAGCTGTGTTTGTGTTTGGCACACAGCCTAGTAATTATACTGAGTATTAAATCTGCATCCTGACTAGACTCCTACAAACTGTACAAACATCCCCTGACCACCTACAGGGTAAATGCCATATGTCAACTGTCAACTGATGCTGAGAACTCAAAGTGTCAGCCTGCTTCAATCCCATTCCTGTTGGGTGGTCACCTGATGCCTACACCCACCTGTGCATGTGCCCATCATTAGTCCCCATCAGTGCCTTTATCAGCCATTTTCCCCAAATTTTCTAGCGTGTCTGTGTATTCAGCTAATGTCGTTGCTCCAGCATGACTTCCTCTTACCTGCCTTAAGTCCTTTTCACGCTGGAGGCAATTTTTTTTTGCATGACTATTTTTTAAACTAGTATCTTGTCAATAAACCCTTTCACATCAACGACAAATTTTGGCATGTGATGAAGTGGTATTAATATTTTTTGCACCAAGGTTGATTTTGTTCAACTTTTCATGGGCAATAGAAATGTGTTTGAACAGTTTTCTAAGCATGGTGCCAAGGTTTTTCCATCTATACAGGTATGTAACAATTAATGATTATCTAGTGACTACAAACACAAATTACCTTTTTTATAATAAACATAAACTGTGAAACTGTGGCACATCTGTTTCCAAATGCTCATCATGCTTCAGTACCGATTAATGCTTTAGTGTTAGGAAAGTGATAACTTTATAGTCATCATCTTCCATGAATTACCTCAGACACACGGCTAGCAGCAGTTGTTCAGTCGGCTCCTTGAAATTGCTCCACTCCTTCTTCAAGTGTTGTGTTGCCTGAACCAACAACTCAGACTGTCCCAAGGACAACTTAAAGTAGGCCCAGAGGTGGCTGTGGTGGAGCATTAATACCTGAACCAAGCAGTGAAATTGTGTGTGTTATCGTGTTGTCAGAACAGGATGCGCCCAAAATATCAATTTTACTCCTGTAGCATCACCACTAGGGGGTAATTGCTTGAAGTTGACTCCACTCTTTTCAATTCATTATATGTTTTATAATGCATAGCTACCTCACATTCGATGTGATTGTGTTGTCTTATTTAGTGTTTTATATGTTTTATTTGTGATGCGCTTGATGTGAACACAACCTTTACTTTTGATTTGCTGTTCTTCATCTTTATCTGACAGCTCTGTGCTCTCTGGTCTCTGACCTGCTCTGAAAATTGGTAAAGTTAAACACCTTTCTAATGTCATGGGTTGAATTCTGACAGAGCTCACACAGTCAGATCAGATATGAATTGGATCAGTTCCCACCTACCATCCTGGACAGAGACGTCCCACTGGAGATGGATTCCCAGCAAACTGGTGACCAGTTTTTGCCTCCAAGCTGTTCAGTCAGTGCAGCAGTGAACCTGAGAACCTGCAGGACTACAAGGATTGCATTTATTTTAATACTCAGGATTATAGTTTGAGTGCAGTTTTTATGAATGTAAAACCTTTGCAGTCTCATTTACACCTCCACCAGGGATCAGCATTAATGCATAAAACGTGTTAAATGTTCTCAGATATCCTCAGGTAATTTGAATTAATTGAATCAGTGTTGAAGCCCCACTCGGTGCCAGCCAGGCAAAGTAATTTATGAATCTTCTGCCCTGCCACTCTTTAAGCTTCAGTATGTTTTAATTTGTTTACATTTGTCTCCACATTTGTTTGTGCTGTTTGTGATTACTATAAAATGTTGTATTTTTATCCACAGTCTCAGTCACAGAATGAAAATGTTTTATTAAAATACTTAAGATGAAGTAGGTTTATGTTTAAAGACTGTAACAGCAGTCAGAGAAAATATGTTCAACCTGATACAAGTAGTTTCCACTCTCAGTCTGATCACTTCAACACCAATGTGCCTATAGGAATGGGCGGCCCAGCTCCTCCAACCCCCATCTGGGTGGAGGTCAATATTACAGACTGGATAATAACAGACACAAGATCCATCCTGTTTACACAGATTGTAGCAGTTTCACGACTCAATTACTGGTATCAGGTAAAGCACACAAAGCAGGAGACAAAATATGCAATGTGGCCAGTAAACTGTGTTTATTGATAACTCGGGATGAACAGAGAATATGTATATGATCAAAAGACAGGAACTGAACTGCATCACTGTCTTTACTCACAGTACTGGACGTATTTGATGTAGTGCAGTATTATAGTTAGTAGGCTACTGCTACCTGTTACAGTGACTTCATGAATATGTGCACTATACTGTATATGCACAGGGTTACCTAATGTAACTCCATGCCTGTGAGGGCATGAGCAGTCCGCTGTGAGGAGGAGGATAAATTTTCATCTGGTCACGTGTGTTAACAGTGATCTGACACCACCAACAGGTCAATGCATCCCCATCATCCCCGTCCCACAACTATGCTTGAACCCAGACCCTTCTTTTTATGAGGCCAGTGCACTACCGTGCGTAGTGTGTGTACTTCTGAAGGGTATACAAACCGACATCCTAATAATTATTGATAACAGCTT